GTTGTTTTGACCCAGCGGTTGGGTTACTACCCAGAAGGCTGGGTTATACATTTAACCAAACCGCTGGGTCAAAACAGCCCAATTGCTGGGATTGTCCCTATTTTACCCAGCACTGGGTTGTATTAAACCCAGCATTTTTTAGAGTGTAGCCTACTAAAAAATAAGTTAATTCAGTTGTACACGCACGTGCTTTTTAACTTGATGGTTACACCACTTGACATTTTTGTGGTATAGCCTTAAAAATATTTGAAATCAATATAAAAAAATACACTTCTAAGAAATCGACACATGTGTTTTAAATTGCATTTTAAAAGATTCCCCTCTTTATCATCTCGGCCATCCTTATTTGTCATTGACCCATAAAGGTGAAGCGCTGAGTTAAGAGTAACTACATGACATTGATTTGAGCTGCTGTCACTTACTGTCCGAACTTTGCATGTACGATCCACTTATTTCCCCGTCTGCGTTTATTTGCAGATGTAAACCGTGCCTGGCTGCATACAGATGTCGGAACCGGACGGTTTCTCCCCAGTCATTTGCCAAATATGGACCAGAGTCGGGCAATGGGAGGCTTTCCACGCCGATGCTACTTCCACAAACAGTGACAAAGAGTAAGAGGAGCATTATTTAATTTTATCTGTGATATTTAGCCTATAGGTTGTCTTGTTCTGATATGAAGCCTGCACACTCTATCTCCTTTGTATTGCTCTGTCTTGGCGCAAGCTCTGCAACTGACCTTTAAATTGTTCTCTTATCAGTTCAATCGATAAGCATTTCCCCTCTTTGGCAGTACTGAGAACAGGGTAACACACCCCGCTGGACATCCAACAGTCGATGAAGACTAAATAAGTGATAGAACTTTATAAAGTTATTGTTTTATTATAATGCATCTGTCATGCATATCCTATTAACTTATATCATATTATATTATAACATCTGAGAAGTATCAAAATAATTTAAATTAATAGTTATAAAAAAGAACAGGAAAAAAGAAGGATGAACTGATATGATGATAAATTGTAATAAAATTGCTTCACTGCTTAGGCTATTTTAAAGATTTTTTAAAAATGTTTATGATTAATTTAATTAATTTAATGAACGTTTCTCTTGTATATCCTATCGGACAGTTGCAACGCCTATTTGACTTTAAGCCCCAGAAAAATGGCCTTTCATAAGAATGACATTTTTTTCATGATCTGCATTTTCAGCGTATTCTTGAATAAGGAAAAAATCATTATAGCCATAGTTAAATCGCCGGTGATCTGCGCACTCTAGAGTAGACTTAACCTACTATAACACGTTTGCTCTGATTTAAAATATATATATATATATATATATATATATATATATATATATATATATATATATATATATATATATATATATATATATAT